TCACACCTGTAATCTTAGCACTTTGGGAGGCCGAGGTGGGCAGATTGCTTGAGCTCAGGAGTTCGACACCAGCCTGGGCAACATGGTGAAACTCTGTCCCTACTAAAATACAAAAAACTAGCTGGGCATGGCAGTGTGCGCCTGTAATCCCAGCTACTTGGGAGGCTGAGGCAGGAGAACTCCTAGAACCCGGGAGGCAGAGATTGCAGTGAGGCAAGATCACACCACTGCATGCCACTGCACTCTAGCCTGGAGCGAGACTTCATCTCCAAAAAAATTAAATAAAAATAAAAAATCTTACAACTTGTTTTATTAAAAATTTAGATCTATACCTTTTCTGAACAAAATTGGCATCACATTATATATGTAAGATTATATAATCTATTCTCCTTTTTACTCTTTTGTTTTCATAAAATATATGTTATCGATACATTTCTAATAGTATCAATAAATGTAACAGCAGAATTATATATCACCTGAAATCCTAGCACTGCTGATAATTTGGCTACCCCTTTGGAAGTAACTTCACACGCATACATTTATGCAGATTTATACAGATGGACTCTTATGAAAATGGCTCTGCACTAGCCTTGCTGCTGTATAAACTCCTCTAGCTGTGTTGTAGATCATCCTGTGCCAATAACATAATGTATGTATTTTATTGTCTGTGTCATCTGTTCTGTGGATGTGCCACAACTCATTTAAACATCTCCTGTTGATTGGTATTTACATTTACAAGAAATACTCTAAGGAACATTGTGCTCTGTACATCTTTGTGTGTTAGTCTAAAAGTCCGAGGATAAACTCCTAGAAATTAAACTGTTGAGTCAGGGGCACTTTCCCATCACAGACTCTTCTGACCGTGCTGACCAGTTCACATTCCTGCTGATGCTGCCCTTGGTAGCTGGACAGCATCCCATGTTGTGATGTCTTTCCCTTGGTTACCATCAAGGTAGAATTGATGTATCAGCCACTCATATGTATCTGGTTAATTGCCTTTTCCTAATCTTTGCATTTTTTTTTCTATCAGGATCTTTTTTTAAAAAATAGAGATGGGGTCTTGCTGTGTTGCCTAGGCCAGTCTTGAACTCCTGGCCTCTAGAGATCTTCCTGCCTCAGCCTCCCAAGTAGCTGGGGTTACAGGCATGTGCCACTATGCCCAACTCCAGGATTTTTACCTTATTCGTAAGAGCTTTTTGTACTTATAGAATACTATGTGTCTGATGTGTTTTGAATGTTTTTCCCAGTCATAATTTGTGATACGTGCCACCTTATGGAAGTGTTGCATTTTTGTGTGGCAATGGTATCATGTTTTGAGACTAATTCTGCACCTCAACATGGACACAACATTTACCTATATTTTCTTTCGTTCCTCTCCTAATTGTGTTTGTTTTTTATTTAAAATCTTTGACCCATCTGGAATTTACTTTGATCTAAAGAGTAAGATGGAAATTCAGTTCTTTACTCTTACCTCCATCTCCAGATAGCTAGCTGACTATATTAATAATATATGTTACATATTGGTTAAAGTGCCTATTTTCCACTAATATGTTACCTACTAATTGTTTATTATTTTAGAGTTGGAGTCTTGCTACATTGCTCAGGTTAGACTCAGAAACTCCTGGGCTCAAGTGATCTTCCTGCCTTAGCTTCCCAAGTAGCTGTGACTATAGTCATTAGCCACCACACACTCATTCTTAATAAATTCTCATGTATGATCCATTCTCTTTCAGGGCTCTCAATTAAGTTCGTTTCTCTCTCTGTCTCTTCCAATGGTAAAATCATGCTACAAAAATTACTGTATGTTTAATATATATGTTTAATAATCTGGTTGGGCAAATGCATGTTTTTTTTTTCCTTGAGCCCCTTCAGGTTTTCTTGTGTGTTAAATATTTTTCTGTAAAAGTTAATAGCATTTGGCAAAACTCAAAGGTTAATAAGTGGTGGTGGAAGGCATGCTGGAACATCAACCTGGCGTTTGAGGTCTTTGTCCAGAACTTTCCCCTTATGAACTCACAGCTTGCTTAAATGGGTTTGATAAACTGTGAAAGGATCGCCCTACCTGAAAGATAAATGGAGTAGCCTGAGTTCATTGGACCTGTATTTGAGAGTGGTTGGACAAAATACTGGCTTTAAAACTAATTCTCAATCAAGTACAACTTATAATCCATGTCTCATGGAAGCATTGCTCCCACTAGTAATCTCTTGGCCTGAGAGACTGAAAAATCCTTCTAATAACTGGGTGTGGCAGCTGACACTTGTAGTCCCAGCTACATTGGAGGCTAAGATGGGAGGATGACCTGAGCCCAGAGGTCGGAAGTTGCAGTGAGCTATGGTGGCACCACTACACTCTAGCCTTGGTGACAGAGCAAGACACTATCTCAAAAAACAAACAAACAAAAAGAATCCTCTTTATCATTTGTGAGCTCTTTTTACCCACATGGCTTCTCCTCCTTACTTCGCAACCTCTTGCTGTCTGTCTTCTTATAGATTGGAGCTAAACATGGTGTTATTTACTTGATCACAAAGTGTGGCTATCTTCATCTGTACGACCTAGAGTCTGGCGTGTGCATCTACATGAACCGTATTAGTGCTGACACAATATTTGTCACTGCTCCACACAAACCGACCTCTGGAATTATTGGTGTCAACAAAAAGGGACAGGTGTGTAACTCTGACATTTCGTTTTCCACCTTTTCCATTCATTAGGGACTGGTGTTTAAACTTTCCCCCTTCTCTAGGAAAGCGGCTGGGTGTAGCTATTATTAGTTGCTGTTATTAAACTTAAACCCATGTCTCCTTCTCCTTCATATTGGCACTTCCTCTCTTCAGACAGCACCATTCCTTACACAGGATTGATTCCAGGAGGAGAGCAGCTCCTTCCTGCATATGGAACAGCAGTTCTCATGCACATCATCTTCATACCATGCACACCCTAATTGGGAAGGGTTGAAAAAGCAGATACTATGGTATTTAAGTTACTTTTCCCAACCATAGTTGAAAAAGATAGTTAAAAGAAGAAACTCTTGGCTGGGCACAGTAGTTTATGCCTGTAATCCCAACTGCATGGGAGGTCGAGGCAGGAGGATGGCTTGAGCCCAGGAGTTTGAGGCTGCAGTGAGCTATGATCACACCATTGCACTCCAGCCTGGGTGACAGAGTGAGAGCCTGTCTCAGGGGGAAAAAAAAAAAAATCAGGAACAGTGGCTGATGCCTATAATCCCAGCATGTTGGGAGGCTGAGGCAGGAGGATTGCTTGAGGCTAGGAGTTTGAATCCAGCCTGGGCGACAGGGCGAGACCCTATCTCAAATATATATATTTGTAGAGATAGGGTCTCGCCCTGTCGCCCAGGCTGGAGTGCAGTGGAGTGATCTTGGCTCACTGCAAGCTCCGCCTCCCGGATTCACGCCATTCTCCTGCCTCAGCCTCCCGAATAGCTGGGACTACAGAAAAATATTTTTTAAAAAAGAGAGAAAAGAAACTCTGTGCTTTAAAAATAAAAACTTTAAGAAGAAAAATTGTCAGTTCCTTCCACATAGGCCATTTTGCTATAGTGCAGAACGCATCACTGGGGTGCTTATCTGTGTGACTTTAACAACTACATAGACTCCTGTGCTGTTCTGTTTTGTTACCATTCGGCTTTCGGCTGCTTTGCATCCTTTCACTATGAGGGCCACCATCACAGGTGTGCTCAACAGTCGCCTGAGAATGTGGCTACCCTCCAGCATCGGGAGGGAACATGGCCGAGGGATGGTACAGGGGAACATGGCCGAGGGATGGTA